ATCCAAATTTCTCAGATACTGCTCCTAGTGCTGTTCATACTCAGTGGGCACATTGACCAATTAGCTCCACAGTAAAGCATCACCGTCTACAAGTGCAGCTCTATTAGGCCACAGGAAATTAACTCTACTGTAGGATAGTACTGCCCAGCACAAGTACTATCGTACTGTGGCATAGTTACATGTGGCAAAATGCACATGTACATGTTAACAGGACAGATTGGGATATGAGAGTGCTTCAGTGTGGGGGCTGCTAGCTGGGTATGCCCGCACTGTAGCACTCTTGTGCCCCAGTGAGTCCCTCTGCAGCATGTTGAGCTGGGATGGAGTAGTCCTAGGCCGGCAAGCTGATCCCTGGGGCCCACTGCTGGCTGGGGCTGCTCAGCCCCTGCTCAGTATACTGTGGTCCTGGGCACAAGTGCAAATTCTGTGCTTGGGAGCAATACATTCCTGCATGAACTGCACTGCATTAATTGTATATATAGATTCGCCCAGTTAGTGCTTACTGCTTAGATTTAATTAACATATTTGGCATTGTGGATCACAATGCAGGAAATTTATAATCCTTTTAGAAGCAATGGACTAGAAGTTACTATGTTTTGGAGACAGAGGAAAATATCCTAACAAAACATTACAGGTTTGGTTGCTAGACTACGAACAGTGATCATAAATGCATTAGGCTGAGTGCCCCATTCAGTCCCAGGTTTAAATGAGGAAGTCAAGTTTTCTAGTTCTCCACTCTCTCACCTGCCCTGCCTTCCTGGAATTGTTTAACCTGGGAAAAGGCTGTCCAGGACCCAGATCAACTTCTTGTCCATTGTTAAGCAGTGCACCAGCATACCACAAGGCACAGTGGTCAATTTCATGGCCTCTGACCTCCCCAACAGCCACACCCATGCCCTGCAGATATTGCCAGTTAATTGTCTGGATGGGTGCTCGGCCCTAGCCCAAGATCTGACCCTTTCAGTCCTTCATGTCTTTAAAAGTCCCAGTGGGCCCTCCCCAGGCCTCTAGGTGCCTTATCAGCCTCTGGCATCATACCTGGCCTCCGGGCTCCAGTCCACGTTGCTCCCACCTCAGCTTGGGGCCCTAATCCTAGTACCAACTCACCACTGCTCCAGTCTCACCCCTCTCAAGCTCAGGATTCACCCCTCAAGGGTTCTGGTCATTTCCCTCGTGGGTACAGGCATCACCCATCTGGGATTCTGGTCTCACTTCTCATGGGCTCAGGACTCACTCCACAAAGGCTATGGTCTTGTTTCTCTTGGGCTCAGGACTCACCCCTTTGAGGGCTGTAGTCTTGCCCCTCATGAGCTCAGATTTCAGCTCTAGTCTTACACCTCTAGATCTCAGGCATCCACACCTTGGCAGCCACATGTCTGTGCCTACAGCCTAACCCCAGGCAGGGCTCTAGGTAATCACATGCCTCTTGGACATCACTGGGATCTCCGTACCACCCCTGCTAGTCCCAGTGAAGACTACTGGTTTACTATAAACAAAAGAATAAACCTGTTGGCTGTAACACAAACTGCCCCACACTGGGTCCAAACATAAGTCTCAGCTCTTTGGCAGTGCAACCCAAACCTGCCCCTATCCTGGTCATTTCCCCCAGCAAGCCCCCTATGCCTTACTTGCAGAATCCCACAGCAGCTCAGGAGTCCATCTGGAAGTCCCCTACAGCCTCTCTGCTTAGGAGCTCTTTCCCTTGTATTCTCCAGAATCAGGATCCCTCCACAGACTCAGCGCCAGAATTTTGTATCCACTAAGCCACACTCCTGGGAGTCATGTGCCTCCCTTTGGTCCACTGCAGGTGTCCTCAATTAGGTTCCCAGGCTGGGCTAACTGTTGCAGCAGTGTCCTTCTTCAGGCTGAGCTCAGTCCTGCAGTACTATTGCTGAGCTACCAGCACTGCAGTTATCACTCCGCTGCCCAGGCCACTCTGCCTGGTTGCCTTATTGATGAGCCACTTACTCTGCAATGGGTGCCTGCAGGTTATCAGTCCCTTATGGCCCAGCCTTTCCTGGTTCCTGGCAAGGAACTCCCTGCACGTTGGGCTCCCTGCAGCTTTTTGCCACCCTTGAAGTAAGAGGACATTCCTGGCTCCTTGTTACAGTTAGATACCAGCAAAATTAGATCCTGATCCCATGAAATGGCAATTTTCTTTTATTTCCTTGCTGAATTATGAAAAAAATAAATGAAATAAAGAATTGGTGTTGGGAATGAGTTGTGGTGTAAGGATTTTTGATACCCTCCCTTGTAAGGGCATGCCCAGGCTCTTGAGGCAACCCCCAATTAGTACACTGTTTTTACTACCCCATCCAGTTTGCTCCCGAAGGCACTGCCTGCGCTACCTGGCTGATTATGCTGGCCCTGTGGGAAACCTAAGGAAGGTGTGCTTTTGGAATTAAGTTGTGTGTGTTACAAGATTATATATATTGGTCCAATATTTATTTCAGATGAGCAAATATATGGGAAAGCATAGACAGAGGATACTTTAGTTTCCCAAGTACACTTGTAGACAACTCAGCTTCTGCCCAGTGACTTGTAGAGAATTCCAAACCAGTAAGCTGACTTTAAAAAGTAAGTCTCATGTGAAACTGCAATAAAAAAAATAAGGTGGTCCTACTATATCTTGACAGATTCCTGAAGCTTGATGGTTAAGTCCCAGAGCTGGATAGAATGAAAGTCTGGCCCTTTGGAAATTATTCCGATTTTAACAGTGACAGCAACCCAGCTAAAGTTTTATTGTCCCTGGAAAGACTCACATTATATTTATCTAACTTGCATATTGAAAAGAGATATGAAAGCAAGATAACCAGCAGGCACATTAGCAGAGTCCTCTGCTAAAAAGAGAACAGACTGTCCTCCTACTTCTCCTCCTCTCCACCTTGGTAGGGTAAACAGTGTTTCCTCATATTAGTCAGTGCATTGGGAACATCCAATAATCCTTAACCACTATAGTTAATATCACATCTTTCCCTCTCCAGTCTCACAAACTTTACTTTTATGAAGTTTAGAATAAGCTGTGGGGAATACGCTCATTGGTCCTTATATGGATGTAATATAAAGAATTTGTTAGTAAATCTCACAGTTCAGTACACTTCAGACTAGACATGGTAAAGAGTGAGAATATGCCATTTTACTTAAAAAGGCACATCATCTGATGTGCTTACCAATTTCAGAGAGACCCAGTAACTCATACATTTATTTAATACTGTATTTATCCAAATTCAAGATGACTTCTGGATTTAAGACAACCTTCCAATTATTAGATTATCGACAAGGAAAATTATAAATTTGTTTTAATTTTTCATGTCTAGGATCTAGTAACTGGAGGTTCCTCTTAAATTCCATTCCCGTCCCCATTTCCCCCCACCCCCACTGCCAAGAGGAAAGTAGTGGTAGGAAAACAATGGCTGAGGGGCAAGCAGCCTGCCCCAGGCCTCATGTCACCATCTTGCTACTTGCCCTCCGCTGTGCCTGCCTTCCTCTCCGGCCATTTGTCCCCCTCTGATGCTTTTCCCACCCCCGCCTCCTTGCCTTTGCAGATACTCCAGTTCTGGATCTACCAGGGGCACAGAGTATCTGGCCAAGTCAGGCAGCAGCATTGGCTCTGGCTTCAGCCCTCAGCCTGGAGTGGGGGCAGGGCTGGGGCTGGAGCACCTTCCCTGATGCTCTGCATACCTCTCTTCCCCGTGCTCCCCAGTGCCCTGTGCTTCCTCATGATTCCCCTGCTCAGTACACCCCTTCCCTCTGCTCCTTTCCCTCTGTAACACCCGTCACCTGTGCCCTTTCTGTCCACTGTGTGTCCCTTCTCTGTGCTCCCCCCAGCACTGCACACCCCCTTCCCCTGAGATCTCCCCTATACTGGTACCCCCTTGCCCCATGCTCCCCCTATTCCATGTACCCTCTGCCTGCTGCATGAACCACCCTGGCCTTGTCCAGGGTCACAGTGGTTGTTTGTTTCACTTGTACTCAAATCCAAGATTTGTTTCCCTGAAGCTGAATAGGGAGGAGGACCTTGTCTTAAATTTGAGTAAATACAGTACTTACTGAACATGGCAGGATCTTTTGCTTAGTCTATCAATTATTTCTACAGTAACCTGGAAGACATGTATCATGTTTTAAGTAACATTTGCACTAATACTAAAGAAAAAATGTTCGTCAAATACTGTATGAAAATGAAATTAAGAATCTTTGGCTTTAAATGTCAAGTCTCAGTAACCCAAGATAACCTCTTGAAGTTGAGCAGCATTTGCTACTACAATGGAGACAAATCAGGATGAATTAAAAATGGGATATTTAAACCTCACCCCTTTCATTTTCAAGTACTATTGACATAAGTGGATTTTTAAAAAAAGTTCCTGTATGGTAGTCTATACAGGCACATCCTGTCTATTACTTTTAACACAGTTTTTTGTGTGTGAATTATACCTGCTCTGGCTGACTGGCTACTCTATAATATAATGGATATAGTCAAAAGGCTGCCTAAGGTAGAATACTTTATTAGGTCATTTAATATATCAGCAGCATCTTGTTCCTGGGTTAATCACTGGGCTGAACCCTTAGCTTGCATTTAAAATTTGGGTACAGCCATAAAAATGACTCAGGAAAAATGACATCTTAGTATTCCCCACTTACTCTCTTCCAATGACTTTCACATCAAATTTACTCAGTTTACAAGTCACAACTTGATTTCCCAAGCTGTCAAAACATGAAGCTCAACCTGACATCAAAAAACAATCAAGCTGTGGTCTCTCTCGTGCTCTTTCAATCTTCACATCCCCAGCACCAACGAGGATTCTGGAACCATAACTTAACTGGTAATTTTTTTTTTTGATGATGGAGGAGGCAGAATAAAATATATCCTGCTCTCTCATGGGCATTTCAAAACTGCACTACAGACTGTATTAATTTGCATTTTCTGTAACTATCTGTGCAGTCATGTGGTATCAAAAGGGCTTCATCTTTTTTTCCTTGATCTTTAATTTCCTGCTTTCCTATGTGAAACAATTCTTAGGCACCTTAGGATTTGGGGCTACTCTGGCAAACTCCTATGGAACTCAGGAAGTCTGATTCTCATCTCCTATTGCTGCAAGTCAGGAATTAATCCACTGAAGCTAATAAAGCTGCAGCAGTATAAACACTGAAACTGGTATGGTGAACAGAATCAGACGCTTTGGAAATTTATGAACGGGAAAATAACCCCATCAAGTCAAGTCATCTGTCACCTCAAAATTTTGGATGAATTTAATTTAAAAACATTAAACTGTAGAATACAGAGAGAATCAATATTTTGAACATGAGTAATACTCAATAATAAGTCAAAATATACCAGTAGTTACTGATATCTGAATTACTGTCATTAGACTCTACACTAAAAGTATAAAAAAATACTGGGGTATTTCTGTATACAGTAACAATTGTCAAATGATTATTTTATAATACCGACTACTTATATCAAAGCTATATGTTGGGACCCTACCTAGGTAAAGCAAGCAGAATTTAGCTAGGTATCTCATACCAATAAATTGTATACTAACTTTCAGGACTATAATCTAGGGAACAAAGTGAACTACAATATATTAAATGTAAGATAAATTTTCTGGAAATATGTCCCTAAATGTGTGAAGCTTAATCTACTGTAATAACATTTCTTACAGAAAAAAGACACGCATTGTTGTCTAGAAGCTTCAATATTTATCTCTCTGTTCAACTATTATATATTGAATTATGGTCTCTGTGTTTCATATCAGGCTTCTAATCTGGAGGTTTAAATCAACATTTCAAGTTGTTAAATACACTTGGAAAAACTTTTATACCGATAAGTGTATCACAGCAAAACAACCTGATTCTCTGGTTGCACAATGAGGCTTAGAAACTTGGGAAATGCTACAACAGAATGGTCCATTAAATCTTGTAGCCTTCATTAATGGGGCCATTTCTGAATGTTTTATAGGCATGTGAAAACTCATTGAGACACCAAATAGTTGTTGTACAGTATGCCCAGAAACTTTTGAGAGAGTGTGGGCAAGGGAAACAAGAAACTGAAAAGCAAACTTATTACAGGCATAAAAAAATTGTATTAAGAATTAGATTTTCTAACAGTGTGAAGTCCAGCCAGTTTTATTTTCTGAAGTGTCCTCTATACCAGGGGTTTTCAACCTTTTTAATAAGTGTGCCCCCGGCAGCCAGATGTG